TTATACCCAAACATTTTTGTATTTTATTTAATATTCAAAAATTAAATATATAGATATTTCAAATGGTGTATATAAGGGATTTGATGGTTTGTTGAAACACAATATACAATTCAAGTTTTGTTTTTGCTGTACATTTATTGTAAATTCTGGATTTTATTGTTCTAAAATATAACATTACCCCCCCCCCCCCCCCAATATGAGATTATTTACTTTCATATTAAATAGTCTCGTGATGTACATCTCATATACAATATAAATGTAATATATTTTCTTATCTAGGTAGGTTTTGTGCGCTTTTTGGTTTTTACATCATCTGTATAAACCAGTAAAAGATTATATTATATTATGTTGTATTAATTTAATATTATTTCTGTTTTAAGTACCTGAGAATTAAAAATTATATAATTATATATATTTTAAACTACTAGTTTTATTCAATTTTGATATATTGTGTATGTATATTATTATATGATGAAAATAATTCAGGGCTTCAAAACATCATTATATTTCCGTATAACGGAAAATAATGAGAAAAAAAAAACTAAATCAACTAAAACATTAAAATTGTACCTATAGTTTTTATATATCCAAAAACGTAAAAACGATATTATAATATTATTTTAAGCCCTAGAAAATATCTTATAGTAATAACACAATCATTTTTATTATATAGGTACATTTATTTAAAAGAATTTAGAAAAAAACGAGTGTAAGAAAATACTGTATATATATTTTATAATAAAATATAATCTTAAATCTGTATCTTAAAAAACATTATATATTATGTACATTATACATTTATATACGATTTAAGAACTATATATAAGGTACGACACTAAAACATTATATAATAGGTAGGTATACCTAATATACCTATACATAGATTTTTATCGAATCATATTATCATCGCGTCGTCCTGGCGCCAAATCCCGTGGCGCCCGAATCCTCGGTGACCATTTATTAGACGGGGTTTCCAATCAATGGAAAAAAACACACATATATGTATATAATATAATACACAAAATATATTTATTGTGTCTATTTTTACAATGAGAAGAAGGCCTTCGACAAAGAACCCGAAGTCATATTATATTTATCGATATAATAATATGTACCTATATTATATAAACGCACTGTATATTATATTCACACAGACGCAGTCCATTAAGTCTGCGAAATCGTGTGTGTAGGTAAGGTTTTTCATTTCCTATTCGTTTCGGTCGGCGGCGATGGTATATATAATGCATTTAGCACGCATTGGCTCAGCCGCCGTGCCGTCGAGGTGGCTTTTATATGCTTGCCCGTGTTTCTATACGACGCCCTTCGGGCCCGATGAATCGAAAGACCTGATAATATTATAATAGCTTCCTTTTGCTCTCTTGCCACCACGGTTTAGCTGCAAATCTTAACACAATAATATATTGTAGACATTTTAATATTTTATAGTTTGTTTCCAGTGTCCTGGCAGTGTACTACAATGTACATATTATAACTTTTAACATATTAGGTATAGCGTCGTAATATAGAGTCCTAGTAGGTATTATAAAATATAAATACTATAATAGTATTTATAAACAATGATACTAATGTAGTAGTAGAAACACATAATATATATAATACCTATATATAAATAATAGATTTTTTTCTTAAAAATATTTATTATAAATAAGTTTTGAAATATAAACGCTCCACAGCCCCGGTAATCGGTATCACTGAGGATCTAAATGTTTGTAGGTATTATTATTAATGTATTATATTATATTATTTTTAAAAATATATAATATATAAAGTATAAAATATTTTATATATTTTTATAATAATACATTAATCCCTGATAAAAAATAGTATGATACTTATTTTATAGTTAAACGTTAGATGCTTTTAATAATATAATATCAAACTGCATTTGTCATTATTTAGTCACCTTCGGTACCTATCGGCTACCACATTTTCGGAAGTCATCTATATGGAAGAAACCACAATAGCAACAAGAACAATCGAAATTATTCCAGTTACCTTTTCTTAAATTTAATAAATCCAAATGACCAAATGGCAAATATATACATATAAATAAAATAAATAATAATTAAAATAATATATAGGTAGGTCGTAGGTGTATATTATATATTATGTATTTATTTTTATTTCCACAACGATGTGATTTTACTTTAGATAAATATATTCCTATAGTATATTCCTCACTGGTAAATTCCACTCCTAGTAAACTAGTGAGTGTGAAGGTTTTTGATATCTTTCCCTGTTGCTTAACAGTGGTGTACCATCTGGGTTTAAATATACACGATAAAATGTTTGGGGAGCACCCCTATCCTCTTACAAAATGCGGGTCGTAAACGTCAGCTTGGGGTATTATCCAAAATTGTCGTAAATTAGGGGTGGAACTAAGGGGAAGTACGCAACAAAAAAAGGTCGTAAAAATATACGTTCACTGAGCACACACAAGGAACTTCCTGCTTCGTCAATGCGTCGTCGAGGATCCTTTAATCTATATATGGCTGATTGGGGGGAAGGATAAAAAGAGACTTTTACATTTCAAAATTGCTTTTTTCATTCTTTCGAACTATATAGTAAGCATATAAATCCAAATATCTAAATAATGCATAGGTACCTATAGTTAAACTATTAAAAATAATGGTAAATTTCAAAAGTTATAATAAAAAAAAAAATAATAGATAATATTTTAATATTTATTTATAAAATATAACTCGTACATTATATTTTATTTTGTTATAATATAAACATTATTCGATTCATATGTATATAACTGAAGTATACCTAATACGATTTAGCTAGTTACTAAAATCAAATAACTATTTACTAGACTGAAATTCCAATCTACTAAATTACTCTATTACCTATTCTAATATATATTTTATTATTATTATCATTATTATTATTATTATTATCTAAGTAATACTCAAGTCTAAAAGTTCGTAATATATATAGAAATCATTTTAAGTATGCACGAAATGGTGAAATTCGAAGTTCTATATAATGGCTATTTTCATCACGCACGTTTTACCTACTATTAATATTATATAAGATATACCTCGATCTGGGACAAATAGTCGTAGACAATGGACGTGGGGACAATTTTTCAAATGTTGTAAATTATTTTTCAGTTATAAATTCTTAAACATTTTTCTTTCCATAGCTTACATTATAAATGTCAATAGAACTATAGAAGAGTCTCGACAAGTTTTTCTACCTTTATCCAAAAAAAAAATCTTAAATTTTTAAGTATTTTTAAATATACAATTGTCATTTAAAGTTAATTCAAAAATCTATAAGTACTGTGTGACCTGAGTAAAATTTTCCTTTTTCAAATTTAAAAATAAATTATCTAAACCCGACTAGGAATTCTTCAAGACGTGGTCGTTTTTCCTGTCAAGTCATTTTTGACTGTTGATTGTTGAAACGGTTTGGTTTTATTCTTTCCGTTCAACCTGTTCACTGTTATCAAGGGCGGCTCCAGGGGGGGAGGGCACTTAGTGCTGTATTTCTAAACAATTTTATACTGTAACAAACAAATTACAAAAAAATCATCGAATTTTTCAGAAAATTATGACTTCCCCCAACCCCCCCCCCCTAATCAGGAAGCCGCTCCTGACTGTCATTGTGTTATATGGCCTCTGCAAAACATAACTAGTGGATAGTGGTAACCTAAATAGTACCTTCCTGTAATTACAATGGAAGTCCGGGGAAGTTCCATTAAAACTGTTTACTTTGGCCTTACACTTACTAGTAGATTGTAGATATCTAGTAATCTATTACAATGTACAAAAATGTCAATCACCAAGTATAAAAGTGATATGCGCTGTTTACTAGAGCGAGACCCTTCTTGAAAAAAATCGTACACTTACCTTTCATTCAGTTCACTTTTTGACCAAAATCGTACATTTTCGACCAAATTAAAAAGTTCAATACCTACATATTTACTTTATTTTATGCATTTAGAAATTTCTTGAAACCTTTAAAGTTGGATGTCATTGATTATTTGGTTATTTGATTAATAATAATTAGATACATAAATAGATACATTTTCTGTAATATTTTTCTATGGGACTATAATATGTATATAAAATAAAGTACCTATAAATGTGAAAAAAAATATGAGCATGCTTATAATTATTATAGAATGTATTGATCAAATAATTACTCACAACATTTATGTATTATTATTATTAATTTATATATTACCTTAATACATTTTATACAACTCATATATTTGATAATTAGGTATAATTCGATATTTATAACAGAAAGTATCTAACCGCTATTAAACTTTTTGGTTTTATCGAAAAGGGAATGGCTGAAAAGGAAAGGTACAATTTGGTCGAAAACGGCAATACCCGTTTACTACACTTGTTTTACTACTTTTATAAACGGTGAGCCCAATACACAATTGACCAAATAAATAGTTTTAAAGAATGTAATTAATTTCAAGGAACTAATTTAATACTATACTCATTCATAGGTTATAGATTGAATTTTTTACAAAACTTCCGTTCAATTTGTAGGTATACTAACGTCATAAATCATAGTTATACTAATTATTACTAAATACCATTGGAACGTTGGGATTCTAGTTCAGTTTTGTTTACGAATTATCTACGTTATTTAATCATTCACGAATTTTAAATTTAAAAACCCGCCTAAATTATGTATCTTACAATTTTCAATCTGAACAATGGTATAATATTAAAGTAACTTCTTTGGGATTTTTTTAGTGATAAAGCATTTAGGTCACAGATAGCGATATCTTTTACATAATATCTTGTGTGAGCAATTTCAATTTTTAACGGATCAATAGTAAAATTGTTGATTTATTATTTAATACTTATTAATAATTTAGATTTTAGGTGGATTATACGTATTATTCAAATTAACAATATATTTAAGACTTAATTATTATCGTAGATAGATCATTAATCATTGAATCACGTTTATTACGCAAACAACAAGAAAAATCATCTCATGCAATGTGTTCAATCAGAGACTTTTTCCCTATTGATTATAGTAAATTTCAGTGTCTTACTAAAGTTAACATTATGATACTTAAATACAATTCATAATTATAATTGATTTATTGATTTATTTTTTATATTAAAGGAGTCAGTGGAGCCAAACCCAAGAAAAATTTTATTCAAGAGAATAAGAGATATGTGACTAAATTAGCAAAAGACACCCAAACGTCTAAAGAAAATGTAAAACCATCAAACAAATTACCATGCACCAATATTCAGGTACACTATCAATCTACTATTTATGGCGTAAAACCCGTATTTAATTAATATTTTAATTATTGCAACAAGGTAAATTTTGATTTATGAATATGAGACCTTGTTCACAAAAAATAAACTACCACGGGAAACAATTAAGATTGTATATGAAATTATTTTGATAGGGGTAGACTTAATGGACCTGTTTTAGTATTAATTAATAGGTTACTATTAATTTTATAACTATTTAACCAAAAGTTATTACAAAAATCTAATAGGTTAAGTTAGAGAATTATTAATAAATAGGCTCTGTCTCAGGTTAGGTTAGATGACATTGTTTTGTGTATTAAATAATATTTTAATAAGTGATAAGATTAATTGGTAATATCAATATAGGTATGTCAATTTACAATAAATTTACTATATACTTAGCATATTATATAATATTAACCATTCAGTGCTTGGATTGAAAGGTGACGCTATGCATTTATACTTGCTCCTTCCAATTATATCCTAATCCATAAGATATTTAAATATTAATGGGATTAAGGTACACATTTTTTTTACACTTGTATCCCCCTTTTTTTCCCCCCAATTCAAGCACTGCTTACATTATACTGATAAAATATAAAAAAATGATATTCAATAGATTTTTATAATTAATATTACTAATAGCCAATTGGTAATAATTACTATAGGTATAAAGTAATTCTTCAAAGAATAAACTATTCATCAAAAATTTGACCATCCATTTAATTTTATACAAATATTATTTATTACTCATTTACCTAATACGTGAATTTTATAATCATATTTTAATGAGCCTATTCATTTTCTTTAGTTTTTAATAAATTTAAATTGTTTTAATTAAATATTCGTAGAGTTTAATTATTAAATATAATATCAATGATGTTTCATACCATCTCAAATAACTAATAGTTTTTTTTTAAATACATTAAATAATATAATGTATAATAAATTACCTGGTTATATTAAAGGTAATTGAAGACATTTTTTTTCAGTCATCCGACATTAACTAAGTTGTAGTAATGCACTCTTCAATGTGTATCTGTTTTTTTTTGTTTATTTTTGTATCATGGCAACAATAAAATCAGTGTCTTTATATTTTACAAAACATTCATTTTTAATGTATTCAATCTTGATGATGTTATATCAATAATATTATAAACCATGACAACCATAGGATAAATATGATTTTTAGGTAGTTTAATATTAATAATAATAATAAATTAATAACAATATTAATATATTACCATATTTATGTGTTTGTAGTATATATACTAGCTGATCCCGTGCACTTCGTTTCCCGTTAAATGTACCAATTCTATATGACTCAAACTTTGTTCAATTCGTTATTTAATATTCGGTGTATGGTGTTCAAAATTTATCTTAACTCTCCTGTTGCCAGGGATAAAAATTCTGATTCACAGCAGCATATTATCAGGTAGACAATCTACCTGTGGTAGATCGCTGACCCCGTGCTGTTTGTACGTAACTGCTCGTGGTCGTGATTCGAACCGACGCCATAGTCTGCTCAGCCACTCCGCCCCCCTGTAATATATTGCAAGATACTATGATATGCATAATACCATTAGTGGCAGACTAAGAAAAACTATTTCAGCAGCATGCTTATTTTAAAGTTGTACAGAACATGTTGCCCTCCTATTAATAATTAATAATTATTAAACAAGCTAGCTCATATTTTGCACTTAATAAAAACAGAAAATAATATTAAATAAAAAAACTACGTATTTTTTTTATCTGGGTAACAAATCTCTTTTATTTTAAACAATGTTATTCAATACATTTTTCTCTACATTATAAACGGAAATGCATAATTATTATTTGTATGAACAACCCGGTACTCCAGTAAATGAGAAAATACAAAATACAAAAAAAATAATAGAGAGAAACAAAACATTTAAAAACATTGTCAGCATACGTTATGTACATTTTATCACTACCTTTCAGAACATAGGTCTCGGTGTCACGACATAGTGCTGTTTCACGGTTTGACACTGCATGAAAACAATACTTTAACATGACAAGCATTCTAAGTTTTGGTAACCTGACCTTGCCGTTCAAAAATCGATTTGCGTCTGATACGATAAATTACAAGCCGTTATGTTCATATTTGTAATCATCGTGAGAACACAGCATCAAAGATAATTATGTAATAATAACAAATATCATAATAGACATTTTAAAATATGGTACAACTCTTTTTACTCAATTAGTTAAAAAATATAATGGGGGGGGGGCTGTAAATATTTTAGGTGGCTGGGGATCCCAGGCCACCCCATAGCTAAATGCCTCAAAATAAACAAGTAACAATAATTATGATATAAGTAGTTTAGAATGGAAGGAGAATACTAAGAAATGTATAATTCTGATTCACTGGTTTAAAAAGAATAATATTTTTATATACATATTAAATGCTATCTGTAAATTACAGGCCACAATTAAATACTACTTAGTATATAAAAATGAAAATAAATATTATTTATGGTAGTATGGTAGTATCTGTGTTTGAAATTTGACATTTTTATATGGCCACTTAATTTAATCAATTCTATAATTTAAAATACTAATGTATATTATATAAGTATATACTATTATTAATTTTATATTTACAAATATTTGCAGAATTTCAAATTGAGACAAGGAACAAATAAAGAAACCAACCCAGAAAACTCAAAAAAGAAAATAAAATCTATAGACTTGGATCAAATTGATGCTAGTATTAAATCAATTCGTTCTGCAATAGCTCAAACAAAGATTACTCAAAAAAAATTAGGAATCAAAAATGTCGAAAATGTATTGTTGACTTTTAGAGATCAAGGTACTTAAGTTACTAGTACGCATAGTTAACCATGATATAAACAACAAGGTATGATCGTAATTTATTGATGGTCAGATCCTTTGGTAAGGATCTGACTATTTACACTACGTAACGTAGTGTAATTAATAATAATATAATGACAATATTATTATACTATGGGTAAGCAAGTAATGTGTTGATCGGACTTGAACCAAATCTGGACTTTTGCTATCATACCATATTGTTTATATCATGACAGTTAACTAAACTATTTGCCAAATAATATTCAAAAAAGTTACAAAGATAATATATTACTATTGTAACCAAAATATTTTATTATAGCTACACAAACAGTAAATCCATATGAAGAAGAAGGTAAATCAAATAATAATATTATCAGATATCCAATATTACAGACTTCAGATGTGGCTAAAACCATTCAAACAAAACACATGAACACCATTTCTGTGCAAACTGAAAGCTCCGAATCAGAGTATTCTAATGTTATGTCTAGAAAAAATGTCAATTTTGTACATCAACAGGATGACAATAATTCCAAAAGAAAACAACATTTAGTTGGACTTAAAGAAAATATAATGGGTCATCATCAACCTGGGGAAATACCAAAGTACAATTAAACCCAAAATATTTTTTATAATTTCTGTAATACATTATTATTCTTAATAGGTACCTGAAAGATCGTAAAGCATTAAAAGAAAAAAATGAGAAAGAAGTACAAAAGAAATTGGCGATTAGGCGTGCATTGGGTCTTGATGATCCAGCATGTCCTCCAGGTCATGTATTATTACCAGAACCTGAGCGTCTGGAACATCTGGCTAAAATAAAAAAAGGTAACAGTTTATCATTTTAAATGATCCATACTTAACATAATAATGTACTGTATAATATACTTAATTGATATAGATTATAATCAATTGATATTGCAATTGAATATGTTGCCCGTCGGTTCAGATTCATACAAGATGAAAGAGAAACGTAAACGCATAGAAAAAGAATTGGATCAAGTACAACTAGGTATTAAATTATTTTCTAAAGAGAAATTGTACGTTAAAGTCAATCAAAAAATAGCAGATTCTTACAAATAATTAATACAATACTAAATTAATAAAGCCAACGTGTTAATGCATTTCAGTACAATGTATTTATAAAAATATTAATTGTGAGTTAAACGGTTGAATTATTTTTAAGAAATATGTATTATAGTTTATTTACTAATTATTACTTACTCTGTCTGTTATTATTTTATCATTTAAAAATTCTGCTGTGATTTATTTTAATTTGACAATATTATACAATTATTAGGTATAAGAATTTTTAATTAATTTTTTTATGATGTTATAACTTGATTATTATATTATCTAATTTCTGTGACTAATAATCAATAAAATATTGTTATTTCTATTTATATATACACATATACATTTTTTAAATGCCTACTTAGGAGCCAAGAAAGACGTCATACCTGCATAAAATGTCTCAGTCTTGCTAAAGCATATTTTATAAAAATATTTATTTTTAGCAGTTTTTAAAGCAGTTCCAATTTTGTGTTACCTTAAATATTATAGTGAATTGACCTATTATCAAACTTAAATGTAAGAACACTATCTGTTAATCTCTCGTAGGGTTTTACAATATTTAAATTTTTAAGTAAATTCTGATTATGTAAAATATTAATATATTTTGAAAATGTTCATAATATAATTTGATATTAAACATGAACATGAACAAATTTCATTTTTTTTTTTTTTTTTAAAGAATTATTCCTCATTGTAGTTAGTAATTTAACTTTTTTTCTTCAAATATTGATAACATTTGTCAAACATATTTGCAGATCATTTCGTAGTAAAAATTTGAATATCAAATTTTACGGGAACAATATTGTGAACCACCGCTGTCATAGGCCATGGTTGCTCATAAATTGTAATTAACATAAATGATTTTTCGTTAATTCTAGTATCCTACAGTCAAGTGCCATACGTTTGAGTACCTATTTTTTCAGCGCGAAGTACGGTCTATTTATTTCTAGATTTTAACCTTCTACTTCCTCACTCATTCCTAGAAGGTTAAAAATAAAATGGCCAAGAGACCTGCTCAATGATTAAAAAAAAAAAAAAAACTAATTACTGGTCAGGTGGCACTACTGAGAGCATTCCTATTAATGTTATTATTTTACGTCAAATGTTCAACACACTTACTTATTATACCCTGTTGTATAGATTATAAATATTCTTCTTAAAATAAAAAATAATAATATATTTTTTTAACCTTCTGGTATAACAATTAAAAAAATTTGGTGATTTACGGTCTCAGACTATAGTACCTGGTTTGTGTATGGCCTTAGCTCGAAACAATTAATTTCTTGTGGTCCTTTTTATGAGTTTATGGATATCAGATTACAAGTACATAATGAACTACTGAAGAATCGAGTACTTAATACCCATGATATAACAAACTAGTTAATTATATCATATCACAGCCTACACTTTACACATTCGACTTCAGTGCTGAGTGTCATATAAAATTATGGATCACGAGTACAGTGTCCATAGGTGTTCGGACTGTACTGTTAGAGCTAGGTTACTTCCAGGCCTGTAGCCCAGCCAAGTTCATCAGATTTGTTTTTAATATGGCCTGGATTAGTTTGTCCCTGGGGCCCTCGACTCTTTTCCACGGTCCTGGTTACTTCCAGGAAGTAAAAGTCGGGCTCTGGGAATTGGTTGGCTTACATCCCTCATGAATATTCACATATATTACCAATGTGTATCACATATTTATCCTTGCTCTACTTTCATATTTTAAAAAATTATAGGAACTTAAAGAAAGAATATACAATTTACAGGTAATAAAGTTAATTATATTTAATATATACGTTAATTCACAGCAACCTTATCATTTTTTCTCTTTATCGTCAGTGTTCATTTTTTTACATTTGATCTCCTTCACTTGAAGACCTACAAAAAATAATTATATAAATTAATATTATTAATTAATAATATTAATTTAGAATATGTTACCAGGTGGCAATGATTGTTTAAGTTTCTCTGCTTTTTCCTTGTCTGTAATTACTAAGGTGTAAAGGAATCGAGAACAACGAACCTTGAATTTAACATTTTCAATGTTCTTCTTAATCTTGACAGCTATAAAAATAATATTAAAATTAAATACATTTAAGTAACTTTATATTATTTAGAGAATACAAATATTACATTTGGCATCCTTCCTTCTAGCCTTTAGGAGGAAATCTTTGATTTCCTTAATTTCTTGTGGCTGAAAAGTAAAATATAATTTATTATTATCATTTATACAGATACATAACAATATTACAAAAAATAACTAATTGTGACTTTTGATAACAAGAATAATTTAATAAGGACCGAGTTTCACTCAAACAGTATAGTTCTGTTCCTAGAGGATAAGGTGGAATTCAAGTTTTACCTCGAGTTTTACCCAAGCCGTTGGTTTTTAATTTAATATCAGAACATGCTTTTACACTTGTTCTCTGTATTCTATGTACATATTTCTAGTATACTCTCATTATGGAATTATAATTTACAAGACAAAATAGTAAATTTGCTTGTGTAAGTTAATTACTTTTCCTAATAAATTGTTATGGGTAATGAGCAGGGCTCGGAAGTTGTGGCACTAAAAATGGTAATTTTTAGCTCCTTAATAAGCACTAAAAAACTCTAAAATATGCGCTATAAATAGCACGAAAAATCAAAAAATATGCATTTAACTTGAAAAAATTATAATTATAAATTTATTACAAAAAAAAATTAAATGTTATTATTTTATTAATTATTATTCATTACAAAAAAAAATTAAACGTTATTATTTATTAATAATTAGTAATTACATTTGCCAATTTCTATACTGTTATATAATTATAAAAAATATAACCAAATAAAATCATTATTTTCAACTAAATGTGGTTATTTTCCAAATTATCTGATAATATACCCAAAAATAGCACTAAAAACCTTAAAATGGCAAAATAGCAATAAAAATCATAAATATGCAAAAAATGGCAAAATAAAATTTCGTGTATGACATCAGATAAGTGTGAAACATATTTGTATCTTACTTTGGGTGTTCTAGGACAAACCAAAAAAAATATGCATTTGCCACAACTTCCGAGCCCTGGTAATGAGTATTTACCTTATTATATTATATTGGCATTGATTATACATAGTATAATAATATATGTATAATCAATGATATTGTACATTATTTATTCAAAATCAAGATTTCATAATAGGTACGTAACTAATGATTAAGTGTTATTTAAGAAACTGAAGTATTTTTACTTCAGAATTACGTTCCTTGATATACAATTAATAAAATGATCAGCACATAAGATTCATCACTAAGTTATTCTCAATATTACATATTTAAACAATTATTAAATCTTCAGAATTACGTCCCTTAATATACAATCACTTAATGATCAGTATGTAAGGTTAATCATTAGGTAGTTAAAATAATGTAAATTAAGTACCTAGGGTAAAGGAGGCAACTATGATTAAAATTCTGGGGGGGCTAACAAACTATTTATTTAATTAACCCATAGGGGGTTTATATCTAAATCCATAGGGGATATTTTTGGGGGTTAAATCTTAGTCTAAGATAAGCCCCCTTAGCCACCCCCCTAGTTGCGCCAACGTACCTACCTAAGCATACCTATTGATAATTCTACAATATTACATTTCATTCAATAAATGTATTAATTATTTTTTAAACACGGGTACAATAAGATTCAAATTATGAAATGTCTAATAAAGATTATTTATATTTTCAATTTATTGAGGTGGCATAAGCAAGTTATTTTTAATATTTATTTTGAAATATAAATTATAAAACCATATTATACTTATCTATGTATAAAACATAGAACAATCAAAAAATATTAGAGCTACTACAGAACTAATTGTATCCCCATCTACAATGGCTTTTTTTAAACTAGCGAACCATATTTATGTACTTACTAATATTATTATTTATAGGTAGGTACTATTTAACTAATATAGTAATATACTATATTTTATAGAAACAACAAATAAAAATCCGAATAGTAACCTGTAACTAAGATAATATTAAGTACTTCGTAAAAACACTACCTACAATCACTATTTCAATAATGCACAAGTATATTAAAATAATGCAGTTTACCTGGATTTTTGGGAATTTTTTTCTGAAACCTTTGGGTATATTTCAATGAGTTAAGTTTAATGGTTCAATCAGAATTTGTCAGTCGGACTTAGTTCCAAGGTAATAACATTTTTAAGTTCGAGATTTTAAGTATATTATTGCACGAATCTACACAGGAAATGCAATATATCTCCAGAGCGATTTTTAGAAATTTTTTCGCATATCTATATATTTCAATGAGTTAAGTACAATGGTACAATCAGAATTTGTATGACATGTGTTCATATTTATATTTAAATATTTTTCTGTGGGCTTATTATGCGTTGTGTAATATACTTGTGTATTATATTTTTTTTAGTTATTTCTTTAAATAACGCTTACCATGATTTGTTTGGTAGTCACTAGTTGATGTCCCGAAAAAAAGTTAATGAAGTTTGATTAGCGACAAAACTTCTAAAATGTTATATGGATTAATAACAAGATTAATAAGCGTAAAGCGATTAAGGATATGCATCAATCAAACGAGAGACCGAAAGAAAACAATTTATAAGCAAGTAGATAATATGCAACGCGGATTACAGACTGTGGACTGTGATATCAAAACAATCGAATAAAGAGATAACTTATCGATGTTCGAATAAGTTGTTTGAATAGTTTCTTAAATATTGCCTGCTCTAAATATTATTTATGGATTTAAAGAAATTCAAATAGTTTTGATTTTGTTTCAAGTCTAATAAACTTTTGTTACTGACTTTTTCCTAATTAAATAACTCATCATTACCTTTATAAAATCGATAGATATCGATTATTGATTAAAATGCAATAGTTTAACCTCTAAAACTTAACCAATGCTGACAGTTTCCGACATGAACTCAAATCATAATACCCACAGTTTGAGATGTTCGGTTAAGATACCGATATAATATAGTATATTGTATATCTTAAACCGTGAAAAATACCTAAATTATCATTAATGTAAAAGATGATGGGGGACCCAGCTCGATGCTCATTCAAGAACACGATTTAAAGTAAAATTCGATAAGGGACGGACGGCCGGTGCGTATCGCTGGTGTACCTCAAGTCCTCAAAGCTCAAGGCTCAAACCATTATTGTTCTGTGATTAAACCATAGAATTAAACCCGATCCGGCGATACGTGTCAATACTCGATACGTTCCGCTTCGAGCAATATATTCTCTGGAAACACGATTAAAGCCGTGTCTGGAAATTGATATATATTATGATATAAATTTCACGTGTACACGTCTTACTGATAAATGATAACGATAATGTAAAATAACAAATAACATTATTTACAATGTGTTCTCCTTCTCACTTCTCGTGATCGCCAAAATCGAAAAAGAAAATTCAAATGATGGATAAACATTTGGTAGATTTTGACTGGAAATTAAAGGTAAATTTCTGAGTTGTTTATTTTAGTATTTTATAATGGACAATATAATAAAAGATCAATATCATTTTATGCGCTGTTACATATAGTATGAAGTATTTGTTTAAGCTGTTTACTCTACGTCCATACCGACCATATCCTTTTCGTTTTCTGAGTTTTGTAAATCCGGTCGTTAGTTACAATCTTAAACCACGACCAACACCAGCAATCATGAAACTTGAAAGCTCACAATACGGTTTTATATTTTCTCCACAACTTACTACGGTGTTACAAGTTTTTGACAAATACAAGTACGAAATCAGACTTTGTGGAGGTGCAGTACGTGATATTCTGTTGTGCAAGACTCCTACTGATCTAGATTTTGCGACTACAGCTACCCCGGATGAAATGGTTGAAATGATGGAGAAAGAAAACATTAGAATAGTTAATAAAGGTGGTTTAAAACATGGAACAGTGACTACTCATGTTGATGGTGTTAATTTTGAACTAACTACACTGAGAATTGATGTTGTTACTGATGGCAGACATGCTGATGTTGAATACACTAAGGATTGGTCACTAGATGCAGGACGAAGAGATTTAACCGTAAATTCCATGTTCTTAGGAATGGATGGCACCATATATGATTATTTTGATGGATATGAAGATTTGAAAAAGCGTCAAATAAGATTTGTTGGTGATCCCAAATTGCGCATCACTGAGGATTATTTGAGAATTTTAAGGTACTTCAGATTTTATGGCCGTTTGGCTACTGCACCCAACCTTCACGATGAAAATATACTTGAAGCAATACGAGAAAAAGGTAGTGGTCTCAAAAATATATCTGGTGAACGGATTTGGTCAGAACTTCATAAGATTTTAGAAGGAAATTATGCATCCGATATTATCAAAACTCTTTTGAATTTAGGCTTAGGTCCATATATCGGTCTTCCAGATCACCCTAATATAGACGAGTTTGATAAAGTTATTAATCGAAGCAAAGGACTAAAATTACTACCCATTACTATGTTAACACCATTCTTAAAAGATATGCAAGATATGATTGAACTAAACAATCGATTAAAGTTTCGGGTGTTTGACAGGGACTTGGGATTATTCTTAATAGAAAGTAGAGATGAAACATGGACACCAGACACCATTAAAAGTAATAAAATAAAAATTATACAAAATCCAACAAAACAAGGTGTTATGAAAGTGTATATTGAACAATTATTGATGTACAACAATGATCGAATAATTCTTGAAGAGTTTCAAAAATGGACACCATTAAAGTTTCCTATTACAGGAAATATGATTAAAAATCACGGGGTGAAAGATGGGAAAAAAATTGGAATAATTTTGAGGAAACTTATTGAGTACTGGGCAGATGATGATTTCCAAACAGATATTGAAGAGTTACTAAATTTGATACCTAAAGCTGAAAATGAATTGAGCTGCAGTTTCAAAAAATCTCAAAAATAATAGATAAACAAAACCTATGTATCTATTTTAAATTATTGTATTCAAATTGAATTCTCTTTTATATAGTAATTTAAACAAGATATTATCGTTCAGAAAGTACTTATTTCTTATACAACTATAGCATTACATATTTTAAGAAATAAGTATTTTCTCAATTAGAATAAAATTGTTTAATTGATAAGATAATAGAAAAAGAAATTCTATGTAAAAATGTAATCCTTTAAAAATCAAAAATTAAATTCTACATATTCTGAATAAATTGTTTATAATTTTAAGCTAAACCCAACACATTTTTGTTCGTAATTTTGGAATTTTTTTAAGCATTTGTTTAAGCACAATTTAATCAACTTGAAAATTAAATCAACATTCATTAAAAATGGGTCAATTAATCATTATTGGCATATCCAAAAATCCAAACCTAAATTATGATTTTCAATATTATTCAGCAATTGGTTGTAGTGTTATTAACAAAAAATATTTTTACATAAGCCTGTTTTTGTTTAGGTTAAGAATTCCTAAAGATCAGTCATATTGTTATCAAGGAGTTAAATATTCTACTTTCTAGTGATTCACTATTATTTTCTAATTAGATTGCTTATTTCCACACCAAATACTTGGAATTCAAAAAAGAATCATGCAAATTTGTTAGATAGAACTTCAGATATAGCTTTCCAAATATAAATACAATTGAACATCATTAATTCGAATAGCTGTTTAATAATACATATTATTAGTATTATTAAGAAAATAATCAGAATAAATACTTCATATTTTGTGAGGCAGCTAAAGTCTAAAATAAACATGAAAACATGTTCACAGAAATCTATAAAACACATTTTTTTTACTGTACAGTGTTTAAATATGTACCTTAGCTCATTTCATAGGTTATTTTATTTAATTTCGGACAACCTAAAGCCCCAATTAGTCTGGAATAATGAGGTTTTGCTGCATTTAGATATAAAATGTAAATACTACTTTATAATGCCTTGATTAACGCTGTCCAACTCTTAAGCAACCCCACATTTTTAAGTTAAATTGTGCCTGTCAGTATGCTGATGCCTGATACCATGATCACCCATATAGTAGTTTTCGAGGGGGGGGATAGTGTCCATATTAGTACTATCTTAAATCCTGGTATTCATTATATTTAGTATACGGTTTATGATGATAATATGTGAAACAAGTTCAAGTATGCTTTTTGCATACCAATTATTTTCAAGGGGGGACATGTCCCCTTTGCCGCCCTTGGCTGATATTAATCCAATTTTTTATTCAGAACAATCTATAGTAGTATAATCCTATCCAATTAAAATGTTTAAAGAAACATACTTACATATTATAGCATGTTCTTGTATACTTAATACATTGCTATATTTTTATTAGAAATATTTAATTATAAAATAGAATAATTTGTAAAAATTATCTTCTGTGAATATAATAAATGTTGTTATGTATTTACAACTTTGATTGAATCATCGGTATTTAAAATAATTTTTTTGAATAGACATAAATATAATATTTTTTTTCAATTTTAGTATGTAATGGGCAGCAGCTCATTAAGCACACTGGAAGAACCATTACTTCAAGTTATATTGCATTTGAAGGATGGCCTTAGGTCAAATAACATGGAAAATCCAAAAGTCTCCGAAAATGTCTTTTTGGAATTTTCTCAAGAAGAACTCTCATTATTTATAGAAAAACTCAAACAATCCTTATAGGTAACATTATACAATAAATGTTAACATTATAAATACACTATTTATATAATAAAAATCACAACATTTTGATTTGGGTCATATAAATTCTATTCCTTCATATTTAAGATCAGCTACTTTAATTTCTGGTAGTATAATTGTTCCATCAATATTAAATGCTGTAATATAACTAGCAGTTTTTGAACCAACTTCTTCAGATTTAAGTGCAACAATAATTCTATCATTCGTACCAGGTAGGAATTTAAAACTAGAAAATCCATGAGTAGGTACTATCTTGCCAATATGTATCACCTATTAACATATCAAATTTTGTTAAAATTAAAATACTTAAATTGAATATTGCTGTTGTATAACGTGTATCCACAAGAATTCTATAACATCCAAGTAATGGTGTACTTTTAGTAATGGCATATTTTTTAATTTGATTCGTGGAACAAAACTTTACTTCTGGGATATAAACTAATCTAGACTACAATAGTTATATGTTCCATTCATGACGTATTCTGTGCATGTGAACACAACTTAATTTTTTTAAATGTGAACCTTGATGATTTTAAAGCGAAGCTTTTTAACGCGCACTGCAATGGAGAGTAAAATTAGAAAAATTGTCACGCGGCAGCTGGCTTCCCTCTTCAGCTACGCACACTTCAGCTGCCAGTCTCTCTGTATATAATATATTATATTCTATCTATTTGGGTGTGCAGTAGCAGCCATCTCGCTTTTTTAGGTAAGATACACTGTCGTATGCTAACCTGACTTGACACAGCACTATGTTGATATTAAGCAATCGACATCATGAAAGAGACAGCGCATGGGAAAGTTCGATAAGTCGTCATAAAAAGCTTCGCTTTAGTCAAGGGTCTCCGAGACCAACACATTTTTTTATTAATATCAGAATGTTTAGATTGGTCAAATATATTTATCTACTTGAAAAAATAATTTTGAGTAGCTCTTATATGGTCAATTTTAATTTTTAAATTTAAAATATAAGCTGATACATCAAAGTTACTAGAATAAAATATTTATTTATTTTAAATCTTGTGAAAAAAAAAAGCTAAGTTGTGGATGCATAAAATAAACAAGTTAAAAAAAATAATTTATAAAAATATATGGCTTAGTTGTAGTCTAGTAGGTCAGTGGAAAAATGTTATAATTAAGGGGGCTGGAGCGTGATCAATTTTCGGTCGAAAACATAGCTCACAACTTCAATCACTACGCCTAATATAATGTTCTGATAATAATTTTGAAAGCAGATTTGAATGTGTCACTAAATTATCTATATCTATGCTTTGACAATTTCATTTTTCTGATTTTTTTTTTACTTAGAAATTTACTAACAAAAAGAGTAAAAATAGATTATATTCATAATTCAAATTCAAATACATTGATATAGAATATGAAAAATGTACGACAGTCAGAGCTTAGTAAATTTAGAGGAGAATTCAAATCTGCTTTCAAAATTTAAATCGGAACATCCTACTGAGCGTAGTGATTGTAGTCACTGGCAGTACTTTTTGAAAAAAAATGTTAGTAATTTTATAAAGTAATAAGAGGTGACAATGTGACATGTGTATTGTGCATGCATGTAGGTAAATGACAGACGTATTATGATGCCCCTAACAACTTGATCGGTACTACGAACTACTCACACTTATGTTAATTTACTTTCAACACATTAACAAGACCCATATGAACTGAAATATAAAATGCCTAGTTTTTACTCCTTAGAATGGATTACGCTCCAGCCCCCTTAAGGTAGCCACTGAGGTACAAAATAAAATTTATAAATTTTGAAAATCGCCAAAGGACCCCATTACGTTACTGAGTTATATTGTTCCTTGTTTCAGTTTACTGAGTATATTACCTTAATATCGTTAAAATTAATATTGGCTGATATCAACATATTTGTAGCCATACTCTCATCGTCATTGTCATTATACTGTTTTGATGAACTCCTCCGCGGTAAGAAGAACCAACGTTTATGTATTTGACTCCATGCACAAGATTCATGTATCATATATCCAGGGTAATTTATGTTGGCTGCTTTCCGAATTGCAATATAGTTGTCTGTCCAGTTGACATGAGTTACATAGCCAAATTTATTAACAATTTTTATCCACATAGGATTATTATTAACAAATTCTCCCGTAGATGAAGTCCATTCTTTGCCCATACTTCCAACATATAAGTCAGAATTATATATAGTTGCCCATTCACTTTTATATCCTGAAAATTATTTTAGCTATAATTGTATGATCGTCACCACTCACCCACAATACCTATTATGTATTATTTGTGTAGCAAGCAAAACATTATTTATAATAATAAAAACTAGTCAAATCATTTATCAACATAATACATTTTATAATCAGCTCAATGCGACATAATTAAGTTTGAACAAATGAAAAATGTTATTATACATTAAATTATTCCAATAAAATTAGTAAAAAGCTATTTTCTATTTAGGTTAGGTTCTGTTAAATTTTCTCTCTGTGATTATTATTTTAAGATTTAATTATGTGTAAAGTGTATTCATATATTATATACATATTATTATATGGCTATTCTATGATCATGGTATGCCAATTGCCAATTGTTTAAATTCTTGATTAGTGATTACCAATTAAAATTAAGCAACCAGAACCAGTGATGGCTTTTCAACAAATTTGAATCTACCACTGACTAGAACTGCCTATTGCTTAACATGCCACTGTTACATCGTATACTTAATTAACAACAAGTCATGCAATATACATAAACAAAAGCCGTAATTATTAAAATACAGTGTCGCCGCTATTGGACTCAGGTTAATTGACTCCATTCGCCTATTAGACTCAAAAACGGTTGGTCCCGATTCGCACATATATAACAACCAGCAAAAATTCGTCTATTCGAATCACACACGGTTAATAGGAGTCCTTTGAAAATTAGATAAAATAAAGAAAATATGTACATACATTGAACAAACGTTGTTATAAATAAGTCGCGACCTTTTATCGCGGAGACTAAAATATACTTTTTTCACGATAAACCAAGCAGTGTCAATGTTAGTACGGACAGGTAGTGTATGAATAGACGTCGTCGTGTTCAGGTGTTGTCTGCGTTTATCTGTACGTGTTAATTTTATTAATTAGTATGATGTATTTTATAATTTATTTTATTTTATATGCTAGATATTACATTTTTTATACCTTGAATTTCAATACATGTTTTAATTTTTAATTTTTTAAATTTAAGCATTCTTAAAATTTTTTTGAGTCATTCGCCTTATTGACTCATTCGGTTAATTGACTCAAATTGTCGGGTCCCAAAGTGAGTCCAATAAGCGGCGACCACTGTATATTAAATTAATTAATGTAAAATCATAAAATCAAAATTATTAATTTAATTTATTCTACATTATAACTTTTACCTTTAAAATCAGTTCCATTTCCATCCATAAGTATTATCCAAGGTAAAACAGTATCATCTTCGCTAATATTATAAATTATACCCGTTCGATCATCAAACGAATATAATTTGCCATTAAATGTAACCAGTTCTGAAAGTTCCATTCCTCGACCTCCCATGGATATAGATGATTTCAATATTTTGGGCGCTTCGAGGTCCCATACAATTTCTATAGAGTTATTAGTTGTATACCAAGTAAGAAATCCTTTTTTATAATAGCTATACCACATATTTTTTTCAGTCTGGCTTTTAGATGCTTTATCTAAATCACTAATAATAGCTATACGAAATTTTATACCCACATTGTTAATAGAAATCGGTTGAGACAATGGATACTTTGATTTAATTAATTTGTACACAAATTTATCATGTGGATGATTAAGGCCATAACTGACAAGTTTTGGTGCGGTATATGACATATTATACAATACTATTAAGAACAAAATACCAATTAACGAGACAAAGATAACAAAATGTGTTTGAAAACGTATAGTAGAGTTTGAAATGCGATATGCATGAGAAGTACTTAAGCTTTGACGGAGTTCTTTCAACATGCTTGAGCTGTGATCTGAGTTTTTTACATCATATATATTCAAAGCTAACTGAAAAAAAATAATTACACCATCTGCAATGTCTTTTAGTGTAATATAATATGAATATGATGATTGATGACTATAATATACTTACATAATTATGGTCTGTACTCATAATGAGCTATAACCGGCATGTAGTGTAGACATTCGACATTGGTTAAACAATAATTACAGAGGTCATGACGTATACAGATTCAGTTTAATTGAAAACCAAATAAACAAATTACAAAGATTGACTCCATTAATAACAAAAATATTAAGCTAAAGCTACCTACCAGCTAACTAGTTTTACCTAATTAATAATTAAATAATAAAATATTTTAATTTATATTTATTATTTACAATTCGTGGCTATTATTTTGGTATTAATGATAAGAATTCTAAGTAAATGATAAACACATAGATAATATTATCTATGATATTATATTATCTATTATCTATGAAAAAACATGGTTTGTATTTTATCACTTGAACGTCTTAAATATAATCTACAAACGTCAATGTTGATTCGCAGTGTTGCCAAATGAGATGTCAATGATCCACTCAACCAAAATTTTATCTTTGAATTTTTGTTATCAGTAATGTCATCATTAATATTTTCTTGTCGTGTTGAGAACTTGAGAGGTAGAGACGTTGAGTGCTTGAGTGTTCACTTCAATTTCTGTCTTTACTCTTTACTACTTCAGACTTCAGTGTTCAATTTGAAACTTCAATAATTAAGTTAAAGCTTGAGGGGCACTGATAAAAATATAGTCAATAAATAGTTAAATATATAATTATTATCTAATATTTTTAAGTTATACTACGAACAATTTCAAATCACTTAACATTTTCTCATGAGTATTAGCAGCATACTAGTCAAACAAAAATGTCCAACAATGACAGTAATGGAAGTTCACCATCTGGTAAGTAATATTATGTAGTTTTCTTTACTTAAATATAATTTCCGTTGAATACTTAAGTATGGAATATCAAAAATGTTCAATTTTGTATTGTTAAGTCTGAATTTAATTTTAGGAGCTACAAAACCTTCTCATCCACAGTTAGACATGCGTCAAGAAGCTGCGATAACAGGTATTTATTGAGTTTGGTTGAACCCATCAATTTAACTAAAATGTGATGTACATTTTATTCATTTTTAGAAAAAAGAAGACAGTTAAAATTGGCTATTCAAGGAACATCCGGTGCTTCATTTGGATTCAATTCTCCAATTCCAAGCTTACAGTCATTAAAGTGAGATAGCTTATTTAATTAAATTTTATTTTACAAATAATTTTTTTCAGCAAATCAAGCTCTTATGTTTCAAGATTTAACACATAATAAATGTAACTTAAGTATTGATTACTGTACAATCACATAGATAAATATGTTTTAAAATGATAAGTGATCATTAAAAAATGATTATTTTCCTAATATTTCATGTATTTTATAGTACCAAATGTTATACATAAATATTAAATAGCAAATTCTATTTAAAAACTATAGGTACTTGAATTTAAATTTAACACTGTAGTTTATATTATGTACTGTAAACACCCGTAAACTGGGAGGTGGGTGAGTAGCATTAATCAATATTTAGGCTTAATAAAATAAATTTATTTTAAATAAGCTTAACTTCAATCAAATTTTCAATATGCTACAAAATAATGTGTTTCGATACAAAACAGTAACTAAAATAAAATTCTTTAATTAAATAAATAATATTTTTTTTACTTCATGTATTTTAAAATGTATCAACATATCGCTAGTTTAAAAATACAAATATATTTATATTAAAAATTTGAGACATAATTGGCAATCAATATTGGATTAAATTTATTTATAACATAAAGTTTGAGTGCAAGTGTCTTTGTCATAACTCATAACTCATAAGAGTTGTTAGTACATTTAAATGTATATTACATAATATGTTTAACTATGTTTTGGTAATTATACAAGCCTAATATAAACATATAAATTATTTTCAGATTTGAAGAAGATAATAAATTACTAAGCAATGGTTCAACAACAAAACAACCAAATTCATCTAGAGTACGGTTATCTAATACTGAAACACTGAGTGAAAAATCAAGGTAAGTTTAATTATTTATCAAGAAGGAGCGGATCCTAATGTATCTATTTATTTATTTTTTTACTGTCAAATGTCAATTTTTCATCACATTTTGGAGCAATAAAACTGTTTCTATCTTCCATTTTAATTTTAATTTCTGGTAGAAAATTCAATCTAGTTGGTATATTTGAGGGTAAAATTCCCAGTACTTTTAAAAATAATTTTAAAAAAAATCTTGCCGCATACATGAATTTACGCAATAATAGTTTTAGGCAAAATAAATATTATTATAATGCATATTATAGTTTTTTTAAATCCTTATATTATATATTTTAGCATAATTATAATAATTACACCACCCCCTTCGAAAATTTCAAAACTATAATATAATAGATCTAAAATATGAATAATATCAATTTTTAGATATTATTAACTTTTCTAATTGCAACATAATTAATATTTTATCTTAAAAAATAAACCTTACTCGTTAGTTGTTATATATTTTTTATTCACTCAGTTTAATTAATTTACATAGGTGCAAGTAGTGAATATTCTTATTAACTAGCCATTTTAACAATATAGAGGTGGTTTTAATGCACCCCTGTCCTCTGTCCTATTGAAAATCAATAATAATTCAAAAAAAGTAATGAATATGAATTCATAAAAATTAAAAACCAAAACACCGAAATAAATTTGTTGAATCAAAACACAAATTGTTTTGTTTGAACAACATTGAAATCTAAATTAAATGTGTCAGGTCTCATTGAGTCACAAAAAACCTAAAGCTTAAGCACCCCCTTGTTCAAATGTCTAGTTGCGCCAATTTGCAACCATAGTATATTTTAGTGTCTTGGGTTTAAAATCTTTAACTATTATAACTATTATTGTATTCGGTATTACATGTTCTTCAGCTAAAGTTCAAATAAAAGAGTATTCTCAAAAAATAAAAATTATTTAGCCTGGAAGTAAAATAGCTTTAATTTAGTTAGCCAAGACATGAAACAGTTTATAATAAAAAAAAAATTACTTTCTTGATAAACAAGAGACATGTAAGCATAGAGAATATATTTTTTAATATGGTCAAATACCTATGTGTATATCAAAACTGAGTTGTAATAAGTTGACTGTTAGGCTAATCTTAAAAAAATAGTAAATTTGTTAATTTTTTTTTTTATTTGAGGATTAGTAAACACATCTTTAAATTAAAAATATATTTTAAAATAATAGTATTACAAAGTCATTTTCTTTATGTATACAGATACAGATCCATAGAACGTACTAAATTACGGTAAGTTTCTAAAGGAAAAACAATGAAAAACCTTTTTTTAAATATAATATTCTCATGCATATTATGTAAATAAAATCTATATAATTTGAAATAATAACACCTCCCTGAAATTTGTTTTGTTTTATTTTTATTTTTATCAAAGAATTTGTATTTTGAAATAAAAATTGTTTATACTTTACGACTTTACTTAAATAGTTTTATAATTTTACTAAACATACAATTTAAAATGTATTTTTAAGTGAATAATTATTAGAACTAGAATTTGCATAATGTTATGTATGACAGAATATACATTGCTTTTAAGGTTATCTTAATAAATATATTGTAGAATAAATTTAAAATTTTTACATCTCTAAATGTATTAACATACTTTACTAACTACACTAATAAGGAAATTAAATCAACTCAAAAACGCTTTCTAATATATTAAACTCCAGTTTCTGTTTAAATTACTAATAAATATAATGGCCAATAGGTATGTTAATTGATAATTATTTACAATCTGAATTTTTAAAAAGAACTAATCAGTCAGGCGGTGTTGTATTAAATATGCTATTTTTACATGAATTCAATACATTTATAAGATTGTAAATAATTTATTGTTATTTCATTATAAATGCATATTAAGAGGAAGCAACACTCGCATGTGTTGTCTTCATCTTACACTCGTACTACATAGCTAAACACGTTTACACAGTCTGAGTAGAACACGCACAATTTTGGTTCTATAGTAAAAATACCTATTTTAAAATAAAAAGATGACAATATTTTGAAGAGCAAGGTGGGGTGTTTTTTTATTATTCAGAATATAACACTCAATGTATTGTTTAGAAATAACGACCATATCAGCATTTTTAAACGTCCTGTAACTTTTTAAAAAAAACCCACCGTGGTGCACACCAAAATATTCTCATATTTCAATTTTATAATAGGTATTTTTATTATAAAACCAAATTTGAGCGAGTTCTATTCCGATTTCATAAACGTGTTTTGTCTATATTGTATGTTTGTAAGACGAAGACAACACATGCGGGTGGGGCGTTATCTTAATTGTCAGTTATGATTAGACCTAAATTTTGTTGATTTTGTTAAGTACTCTGTGGGTAATGGTTATAAAAGAGATATGTTCTGTTTGGTGTTTTATATTATATTATTACAAAATGTTTCTTTGACTTAGTTCATTCTTGGTTTGTTATAAATAACTATTTTAATAACTACGTTTATGAACTAGTCATGTATTACATGGACTTTATAAACTCAATTCTGCAAAAAAAAAACCAATAATGTATTACAAAAATTAAAAATTAAAAAAAAAATTATGAAATCATTATTAAAACTTCTGATTTTGATGTAAAGAAGAAAGCTATTGTATGAGAATGTATGCACAAAAAAAAATATTAATAAAATAACTATTTATTTAAATTTTTTTTTAAAAATTTAGAGAACATAATATTGAATAAAAATAAAGTAAATTTAGTATACAAATTCCTCTTTTTTGAATCCTAAATTATTTTAATTTTTTTTTCTATAATTATTGAAATAATTATTTACTTAATAATGCTTTCCCAAAATTATCAGTAAAGAAATTATACGGTCAACATCTTTGGAATATTAGATAACTATGATGTATCATATTTTAAACATTATACATGCAAGTAATGAATATGCAATTGTATACGTCCATGAAACCCCAGTTAAAACTAAGAAGTTGAATAGATTATGTAAATTAAATTATTATTTTAAAGGACTTGTAAAAATAATTAAAATTTATTATGCAAATATTATCATTCTCTAAAGTTGTGTAGTAATAACTACTGTTTAAATAATTTCAAAATTATTAAAAGTATTTTGCTATTTTATTATTATTATAAACAGCTTTATATGAATTACATTATGTAACATAATAACATTAATCAAAAGAAATATTAAATGTATATTAAATAACAAAGACATTTTTAATTTTTAAAAATTAAATGTCTATATCTACTATAGGATCTATGCCTGGTTGAATGATTGAGTCAATGGATTGCATAATTTATTGAATAATATTACTAAAATATTTACTTGGTATTTGAGCTTATTGAGATCACTGTTTTTCATTTAAATGTTGAAAATTAATAATTATACATTAACAATAATTCAAAACTATGTATATCATTTTTTGTTTTATATTTATAGAGAAAGACTAAAAATGTGTCAAACAATACAATCCACTGGAAAACTACAACTTTCTGAAAACAAGGTTGTTTCTTTTAAAACTAATTAAATACAATACTTGCATATTTATTACCTTTATACATTTTTATGTTTAAGGTGTATGATTTTACATCAGATGATTTACAAGATTTAGGAGAGATTGGTCGAGGTGGCTTTGGAACTGTGAACAAAATGTTACATCGTAGTAGTGATACAGTAATGGCTGTTAAGGTATTCTAATTTATTGAGTTCGCCTATGTCCTATAATATGAACATAGGTGTGTGTAGACTTTGCAATAAGGAGGGGGGAAGAATTTTTAGTAACAATCCTTTTCTACTATTATTATACTTTTAAAGTTATTTATTAATATTAGTGACTCTCCCATGCTCACACTTATGATTATAAATATACCTAAATGTAAATTGTAACTATTTGAATATATTAAATTGTTTTTATTACTAGAGGATAAGATCAACTGTTGATGAAAATGAACAAAAACAATTACTAATGGACTTGGATGTTGTAATGAAATCTAATGAATGCCCTTATATTGTACAATTTTATGGAGCTCTTTTCAAAGAAGTAATGTTAAATAGTTTAAATTAAAATTTGAATATGAATTGATATTATGTATTATGTGTTGGTTTTAAATAGGGAGATTGTTGGATTTGTATGGAACTTATGGACACATCATTGGATAAGTTCTATAAATATGTCTATGAAAAATTAAATCAACGAATTCCAGAAAATATATTGGGAAAAATAACTGTTGCGGTAAATGTTTTTTTTTAATAATAATTATGGACAAAATGGATTTTCAAGAAACACAGAAATGTGTAAAATATTTTGTTTTAATTATTTAACTTTCAATAAATGTTTTCATTTTTAGGATATTTACTTATACAAAGTAGAGTATAATTCAATTCAAATCATTATTATTTAATAATAATAAAAAATTAATAGAATTCATTAAAAAAAAAAATTTTAATTTGCTATTGCTATTATAGCTTTATGCTTAATAATTCTAAATCATCATTAAAAATAAAAATATTTGAACCTTTGAAAATCCATTTAGTTGGTTCATTCATTAAAAAATCTAACACACAACATAAGTTACTCTATAGAATCAATTTTTTTGGAAATTTAATATATTGAAGTTAAATAATGTTATATTATATTTCAGACTGTAAAAGCATTGAATTACCTTAAAGAAAAATTGAAAATTATTCACCGTGATGTTAAGCCCAGCAACATTCTATTGGATTCTCGAGGAAATATAAAACTCTGTGACTTTGGTATCTCAGGGCAGTTAGTGGATTCTATAGCAAAAACTAGAGATGCTGGCTGCCGCCCTTATATGGCTGTATGTTTTGTTGGATATATTTATTTCAAAATAGTATGTGGTGTAATTCTATTTAATTTTAGCCGGAAAGAATTGATCCAGTTCGTGGTCGAGGAGGTTATGATGTCCGTTCAGATGTTTGGTCCTTAGGAATCACCCTAGTAGAAGTTGCTACTGGGCGGTTTCCATATCCAAGATGGAGTTCTGTTTTTGAACAATTGTGTCAGGTTGTTCAAGGAGATCCACCACGATTGCAGGCTTCTAACAACTTTTCCCCCAATTTTGTGAATTTCGTAAATACTTGGTAATTATACATACATTTAAGTTGATAATATTAAGCCATTAATAACATATATAAAATAATTATTTTTAGTTTGATAAAAGAAGAAAATCAAAGGCCTAAATACAACAAATTACTAGAACACATATTCATTAAACGAAGTGATGCTGATAGTGTAGATGTAGCTTCTTATATTAGTGAAATAATGGCTGCAATGGAAAATGATGGTGCATTCATGTACACAATGAATGACCCTTGATAGTATTTTTAATTTTGTTACAGAGTACACAGTCCATAGGTACTTAATAAAAATCAAGATTTATTAAGTTTCAGTCAACTTACCCAGTCAGTTGTAATTAATTTTGTTTCACATTATCTTGAGGATTTATTTTTCCAATACTTATGACAAGCTTCCAACAATTTTTTTAAGTTTTTGACTGGAGTTTTTGCTTACTAGACAAAATAATTTAACAGTTAGGTGACATATTATTATTTATTATTATTACTACTATTATTATTGTTGATATTTTAAAACAAATTGAGTAACATAAAAACCATAAAATGACAGTTTCTTTTGTCCTGCATAAATTGTGATGACGTGGGTTTCAATTTATTTCTGTCAGTTTTAACTAACCTTGTTAATGAAATGAAATCATTTTGCACACAATTTAATTTTGAAGTAAGTTACATGCCCAATTACCACAAATATTTGTACTATAAAGGGTATGATTGTTGTATATTATACAGCTTTGAGTGATTGGGCTTAAAGTTCTATTTTCTTCTATGGATGTTAAGTTAGTACTAAAGTTACATAGGTCAAAGTTTTAAGTATGACCAAAATAACCCACTGAACATAATTAATAATGAGATAAATTAAATTAATATATTTGAATAAACAAATTTTTATAAATTAATTTGTATATGTATTGTATTTTTACATAGTTTTGCTTTTAGTAAACTTATAATAGATTGAACTTATTTGACAAAAGTCCACATAGTGCCTTTTTAGACACATTTTATACACAAGTTCCGCCAAAATTGGGCCCAAAATATAATTTAAGATATAAAAAGAAGTAATATTTTGTTTCTAGTTTTGTACCCACTACTGTGATAATTAATGTTTTTGCAAAATTTTCTTCTCGTGTGTATACAAACTATGTTTTAAATTCATGTAATCATATATTATATTTTAATTGAGTTATTATTTTGCTGTTCAAACTCAAATACATCTAATTATTATATTCCATTTTTATATTTAAGTATTTTGTTTGTCTGGTTACTGTTTAAGAACATTGACTCCTACTAAATGTATATATTTTAGTGAAGATTTCTTAATAAACTAGAAAATATTTTTGTTTTAATTGAAATTTAAGTTAATAGATGCTAGTTTTATTAACTTGACATAAAAGAAATGTCAATGTTGTTAAACAGTAAAAAATAATACAAATACATTTTTGCAAAATGTTAGTGTAATTAAATTGTACCATCGATTGTAGCCTTATATATTTTTTTCATTAATTCTGTATAATTATATCAAATACTAAACTAATATAACCATCACAAAACACATAGTAGGTAAATTTATTGTAACCGTATTTTATTTTATAGATACTTTGTCATTGATTAAATTAGTGTTCACTAATTCAAACTGACTTGCTGGTATTTATTTATGTTAATAGTTAATACTATTATAACATTAGTATGTATTACAGTAGTATTGTTCTAAAATAAACTTATTATAAAAAACAAAAAGAGAACAAATTGAAAATAGATTCATTTAATAACATATATTATGGCTATACTTGAACAGTTTAGTGACAATCAAGGCTTAACAATTAAAAATGTTCATTAATCAATGCCATTTAAAAGAAATATTACTTAATTATAAGACTATACATATATATTTCTAAATTATTATAAAAAAAAAAAATTTACAACCCTTAAAAATACTACTGCTATATTGTCAAAATATTTTTCCAATTTATATTATTGTAATCGTCAATTCAATTATTTTATTATAGATTATAATTAATATAATATACTCATTATTTAAAATTAAATGTACTGATTTAAATTTTGTTTTGTACATTTTTGTCTATCGACTATTTTATAACATCTTAGCCGTGGCTGATCTAGAATTTTGTTTTTTTTTTTGGGGGGGGGGGGCATTGTCTTTTTCAATTTTTACGAAACAAGTATCTATAAACAGCCCAATTTATTAACCTAGTTGCTAAGCCAATGAGAAGAGGAAGGCCCTGTGCTCCCCCCTCCCCACTTAAATCTGCCACCGTATCTTAGCGTGGTTGAATTTTGTTTTCCCCGTGTATTTGAATCATTAGATTTTGTATTATTGGTTATTAGTCACTTATTACAGTAGAACTTCTTTATAAAAGAATCGCTTGGGACCAACTTATCTTTCCGTCTCATTGGTTTTACTATATGATAATAGCTTTAGATTGTTACAGAATAACATACTGTTGAATACTTATATGGTTAAAATTGATTGCCAAAGAAATGCATTATATTCATAGTATATTATACATAATTATATTTATTATTGATATATATTAAATTTTTAAATTGGAAGATATGGGTACTTATGTGGGTTAGATGATGCTTGAAATTATTATTTAAACTTTAAAGCAATAATAAAATAATGTACATAATTTTTTCAAACCGCTACTTTGATTTTAGATTTCTTTTTCTTTGACTATGCAAATGCATGGGAAATCACCAGTGCTCCCAACCGATAGAAAGACCAAAATAAAGATTTTTTTAAAAAAAAGGCAAAATTAAAATTTAATACTTTTGTGGTTTTAATATTAGATAAGTTGAATATCATTATACGGCTACTATGTGTGCAATGATACGACACGATTAGGTAATACAAAACACAACATTTATGTTCCATTAGTGTCTTCACATTGTTTTTATTTGTTGGTGTATTACTAGATATAGATAAGTAGATTATTAATAGATTTTGCATTTGACTCCATTACTCCAACCGTGTTGTGGCGAGGAGGAAGTGTGTTAGAGGTACTGTAGCTGTTTTGCACAGAAATGGCAACTTCTCTTTTTGGGACGGAGTATAAATCAAAACATACAAGATTAGGTTAACAATATTTCATGGTGCATTTAAATGTTTGTACATTTTAAAAAGTACTATGAGAAATCATATTTTTGTATTTACAATGTTTAGCATGATCAATAAGAGCAAAAAAAAAATAAAAAAAATATTACTTAATTATTTAAAATTTTCTTTACCTAATCTTCAAATATTTTTGAAAATTTTAAATAGCAATGGGTAAAAATCATTGACATCTGGTATGTTACATTAAATATATATGAATTAATATAAAATACAATTTTATATTCATATTTTATTTATATATTATGTTCAAACTACATTATAAAATTGGTTTCTTATATTTACATTGAATCCAAACACGATACATTTTTAACTGTTTACCCCTATTAACTTGCATACGACGATCAACTATATTTTGAACTTGTTCAAATCCAGCTCCCAAAAATAATTGTTGAACATCATCTAAAGAGATAGAAAAATTACCGAATTATTCTAATAAAATATATTATAAAACAATAATTTAATTTAACAAATTATAATAATCTATAACTTTAAGAATGATAAATATTTAAATCAAAAAATGTTAATGAATCAGTTTAGGCTACAAAACCAAAAATTCTAAAAACTGGTTTACAGTCCAATAACTAATATTGAGTGCAATAATAAGAGACTAGAGTTATTTAACAGTAATTTAAATCAATAATCATTTGAATAGTTTGGGTTTTCAAATGAACATTTAATATTTCGGTTTTGATCGCAGATAGTGTTAACAAATTTAAATCAGGTTTTATTCAGAGGTTGTTAAAAACTGATTTATAATTTACTTAAGTCGTTCCACACAGTTTATTCATTGTAACTATACCTTGAGTAAAAAAGTGTACCAACGTCCCATCGCCTCTACTATAATAATTTTCTGATATGCATCTTCCTTCTTTAAACCTTAACTGTGCCATGTCATATCTACCATAATCGCGAAACAATACCATACCTCCTGGTTTCAAGTACTTATAAAACTGACCTACCACATGTTTTAATCTGCAACACAATTAATTTCAAATTCAAATAAATGTAGAATATTTCCATAACCGTGTACCTAAACATTATATCATACTTTTCAGGTTGTAAGGCGGAAAGAACAAAAACCAATAATATAACATCCAAACTCTCTAAGGCAAATGGTGGATTCCATTCATCACTAGTTACATCACATACAAATGCTGTACAGTGTTCATCGTTGTATTCTGAATTTTCTTTTAAGATTTTTATGGCATTTGAAGAGAAATCACAACAGTATACATGTACATTGCTGTCTACACAGTGTGCTAATATAGGGTAGACCGAATTTCCAACGCCACATCCCACTTCTAATATAAAACTTGGTTTTTCATTTTTAAGTGAAGTTATTTCAGGAAACTCCGTAAACAACCAACATCGGTTTTTAAAAAATCTAAAAATAAAATAGATTGAAAAACTCAACAGTTAAAACTACCTAAGTATAAACATTAATTATTATATTATAAATGATTCTTAAAATTATCTTAATCGTCCATAATAGGGTGATCAAAACAATAGTAATATCTATATTAATGATACATACTTTTCTTGATGGACAGAATAAAATTTATCCCAATATTCATCGGCATTATCTTCTAAATCAGCAGCTTTTTCTGAAGGCATTTTTGTTTTTACATGGGCACATACTTGTGACAGAGCTTCAATTTCTTGTGCTTCGTTCCATTCCACATTATCCCTAAACATATAAACTATTATTTATTAGCTTTACTTTAGTGATGAGTTTAATTAGGAATGTTAGTTCCTATCGTGAATAAAAATTAAATGAATTTGGACCTTTATTTTAAACTAACAGTTTAGGAACATTTTAAATTATTATTACCAAGCATTGTGTTTAAAAACGTCATCGTCGTTTTCTAAAAACCTATTACCAAATTGTTTTCTTTTAGATTTATCTATTGATTCAGTCATTTTATATTTTTGTATTTTTTCGTATTCTTATAATAATCTATTATAGACTATAGTAAGGACCACGGTCCACGATTAAATATAAATTATAATATAATGAATGCCCAACGAGCATGGAATCATTCAATCATGAGTATTCATGACAATTGTTGAATTTTCGTTCTCAAAATTACTCTTATGATAAGAACAACTCTGCAGCGCTCGTAGACCGAAGTGGAATTTTTATGTACTATTGTACCAATGCTATATTGCTATCTCAAAGTAGGAATCCACGGTTCAAGATAATATTTTCTATTTTAAACCGTGGTGGAAATTTAGTTTCATGTAATATTTTAAGGGGCCAGCACACATGACCTGTTGTTTTGCTCAAAAACATGCCTCACAGGAAAAACTCTCACGCAGTCACGCCCAGTAAAGTGATTCGATTTCAAAAATATTTTTTTTTTTTGAAAGAGAAACTTCTTACAGTGCTTATTGGACTTGGATTTTCAAAATTCTATTTCCAAACTATATAATACGATTTACATCTCGATTATAACTTAAATCGTGATGAGGACTGGCCACTGCAATCACAGCCATTTTTAAAATAATAAGTAAATTATAATTTAATAATATAATAACTATAATAAATAATAAGTCAATTTTACTTATCATAATGAATTTAATAATTCAATATATTTAATTGTTTTAAAATTTACTTATTTTCACATTAAATATGAACATTTAGTGAAATGTCCATGCATCTATTATTATAGTTAGGTATTCGATTTTGAATTACGACAAAATAACAAAATCGCTATATATAGGTAGATGAGAAATCGTGTGAATATTCAATCTTGTTAAAATATGAACATCAAACGCTCATAAAAATTCAGTTACAACGTTTATATTATATAACCAAATTATACAACATTATTAATATTGAAATACATGTGTCGCGTAACGTGAGCGCTGAGCGTAGTTCCAGTTAGACTGCTAAATCCACGATTGCCGGAAATATATTTATAAATATTCTAAAAAACCAGCCATATACACAGCGAAATAAATTGATCAAATAGATTTCGTGGTGATTATCAATCAATCTAGAAGAACCCAGCAAATTTTGCAGATTTTTAAAATATTATGCCATATTTTTTACATAATTCGGTTTGACTGCAATTTCATCGTTTCATGGGTAAGTTAGTTTCATTGGACGAGATCACATTAACATGTATAAACAATAATACAATGTTAATTTTACAAATTATAAGAAAGTAATAATAAGACACTGCAGGTACAGTGGCGTCATTTCAGTTTTTGAGACGGAGGGCAATTGTTTGACTTGCCCACAATAAAACTGAAAAAAAAACCGCCCGCAAACAATATTACATTATACTAGCATTTTTATCTCAATACAAATAGCCTTGCATAATTTTATATAACTAGCATAACCAATGCCGCAACAACGGGGGGTGCTAGGGGTGCAAAGAACCCCCGGGCCCCCGTTAAATCATAACTATGGGCCCCGGGGCCTACCTAACTATTTGGAACTTTTTTTTCTTTTAAAATATGTATGTTATTCAAAAATATACATGAGCATAGTCACAACTAGGGTTAAAATTCTAGGGGGCTACAGCCCACCTAACAAAACTTAATTTAAAATAACCTTTAAGTGGCTTATATCTAAATAAATGAGGAATATTTTTTGGAGGGGTCTGAATCGTAGTGGGGGAGGCTATAGCCCCCCTCCCACATAGTTGCGCCTCTGTACATGAGCCCTATATATTTGGTCGCACACCCAAAAATATGTACCAAGTTGCGACGTCAGTGACCCATTTGTAACCTACTGTACAGCAGAGCACCTTTTTTCTTTTTTTTGTGCAGTTTCCTATGAACTATGAGAAACTAGAAAAAAGGAAAATGCATCGGCTGAGTACGTAACAATAATCCATCTATTTGAGTCGAAATGTGTCAAGAAGTTCCATCACTGGATGGATTCTTCCTTCAAGCCTCCAACCCATCAACTCCCGTCTCACACAGCGCTTGTACTTATTTTAAAAAAGCACATTTACAAATTTTTTTGTTGGTGCCAAAATGTTTGTAGGCCATTCAGATCATTTTTTTGGCGGGGGGGGGGTGGTGGTCAAGTGGGGACAAACACTGTAGAATATTTATATAATTTATTTAATATGTCACTTATATTAGTATGGATATATTACAATATTGTTACTATTTTTGACGAACTATGTAGGTATATTTAATGTATTTATTTTATATTGTGGATACCAGTGATATTTACACTTGGTTAATAAATGTATGGGTATAAAACACCTTTATAATAGAATACCTATTACCTAACCAAACCTAACCTACACATTTTTTATCGCTGCATACTCAAAATATATAATATAGCTAGCTTAATATAACCAGAAATTTATTTTATGGGTACCCTTTTCTTCACAATGTTTGTATTATAATCGTAACAATTATAATATTGTGGGACCACAGAACCACATCGTCCACATCAAACATTCTTGGAAATTAAACATTTGTACAATACATTTTTTTTAATACTTAAAAAATATAATATATATATATAATCTAAAACACTTAGGTAGGTATATCGGCGCTTATATTTATTGTTGGCAGGCCAAAGATGGTATTTAAAAAAAAAGCTGGTGCAAATGTACATTGTACACCATGCATCCCCCCACCACCAAATGACGCCCCTGCACATAACTATTGTGGTACCTAGACCAAAATTAATTTACTTTTAAATTTGAATTACTCAGTACTTACCATAGACCTATAATTTATAAACTAACTTAGTTTAGAGTTCTATGGTACCTACACCTTTTACAGACTTATACAGTTACCATTTGTGTTCTGTTAACCAAACAGCTAGGTATTATAACTTATAAGCCATTATTGCAGACTTTCATAGTATACGATAACTTGGTAATATTCTAATTAGTTCATTCTGATTAACGGTATCAAATTCTTTTACTATGTCTATGTTATATAGGTATGTTACATAATTGTAATAATTATTTAAATATTATTATGTAAGTTATCGGTATCGCCGCACCGTGCGAATGCGCGATAGCGGTCGTTGAAACAATAAACTGTCTCAGTAGTCTGCAGTCTTAAATCTTAATCGCACGTAACGCACTCGTTGTATGTTCTAATAACGTCCGTTCTCCTCGTATGCTTTGTATTTGCAAGTACAAACATAACAGTCTAAAAAATTCTAAATTATCTTCTCATTAGGTATCGTACATTGTTTTGTATATAAACTTAGTAATCAAATAAAGAGGAATTGCTCCAATCGTACTCTTACCGGGTGCTTTCTTAGCAAGATATAAGTCAGATTTTGACATTTTTTTTTTAATTACAGATTTATAGGCTTATAGTTTGATACTATTTTTATTGTGTTAGCTCATTTGAACAAAGATTTTGACAATGAAGAGTTTACATTTTTCAGGAAATGTACTTACCTACATTGTTTCATACATTAAAGGCTCAATAACAAGAATAGATATGTGCTTCAAAAATTTCACAGATATTTTACCGAAACCTGTGGCTGTATTATCTTTGATTTTATTTGTTAGGTTTAGTATTTATTATTTGAATTTGTTTAAGGAACATGTCATTGAAAGATGAGTTACTTACTACTTAGTGTATTATTTTTTTATTTATCATTTATAATGCAATATATTTATTAAATCAAAAATAAAAATAAAAATAGGAATTTAATATAAAAATAGGAATTGTATTAGTATAAGAGATATAATATTTTAATTGTTGTTCACAGATACGTATTTAGGAATTTTGCACCCAGGTAAGAAAAAAATACGCCCCCTTCCTAACCTATATTCTTTAGCAATAGGTGTATTTGAAAAAAAAACACATGATAGTGAAACATGCATTCTTCGCTACACGACTACACTCATAATCTGAAAGATATATGTATTTGGTAGCCTCCCCCACCTAAATACGTTTCTGGTTTTTCATTGCTTAATGTCTATATGTTGCTGTGCGCATAGTAATTATCCAAGCGTGTGGCGAGTGTCTGTCTTGCAGTCACATGTTGAAATTTTAAATCGATATAGGCACCTCCTCAAAAACCGCACGTGGCGGGACTTCCAAATCTTAAGGGTTTCGTTCTCTTTACCAAATAATACGATATTTATCTCTTTGTCCGCTTTTTTAGACTTTTACTCGACGTCATTTCCTTATTACATATTATAAATCGAGTTTGACGCGATAGGAATGATCAAAAGATGATATTAATTATTGTTTGTTTAATCATTATTATTACACACAACTACATAACTACATAAATAAAAAAACGTGCATTGTTATAATGAATATAATATTTGTGTGTCGGAAACTCGGAACTCAGATTAATATACTTAACTATATTATTATTTATTGTAGTTATTAATACTGTTTCAGTGGTGACGATCGTACAGGCACTGAGACACCACTTCCGTTCACGCGTCATTGACGTCGGATCATCCGACTCGGATGCAGTTGTGTGTACGGGCCATGGCCCATGGGTAGAAGATGTTAAACACTCAGTGCTACGGAAAACAAGGCCGTTCGGACAATAATGGCAGTTGCATCGCCCGCGGCCAGGTTCTACCAGTAAGTGCATCGCTTCCTTCTCATAGTATAAGAAATAAAAAGTATGCTCCACAGTCCACACGAACCGTATTTTTGTAGTATTTCACGCATGCGTATCCTTGTGTTTTTATGCATACTGCATTTGCATAAGATTAAATGTATACCTGTGACGTCACCTTGATTTTATTGTTGGTTGCCTACCTAAATATTATATATTGCCCCTTAAAAATATATTATATGCATTGAGCATACTTCTTATTCCTTATACTATGGATTCCCCTACTGCTGATTACGGCACGATTCTCAACGTCGTCACTGAAGCCACCGCTCCAACGGCCGCGTCGGCCACCCTATCGGATTACATGCGCTTAAGCTTAAGCTTGTGTACAGTCGTTGCCCGGCTTCGGGCGTCCGGATGGTACTACGAGGGCGCCAATGCACAGGCCATGGCCACGGATGCGCTGACCAGAATGCCGGCAGGCCGATTTTTCGTTCGAGATTCCAGACACTTGGGACACCTGTTCACGATGGACGTGCAAACAGGCCGAATCGGCGAGTCCCGGCTCATAAGCGTCCGGTTCACGTACGAGGATGGCATGTTCGGCCTGGACACGATGCCACAGCACGCAGATGCTCACTGCAGCGTCCCGAAGTTCCGGTGTCCGATCGAGCTGGTCGAATACTACGTACGGATGTGCCGGATCCAGGTGGCCCATATCCAGATACCCGTGCACCCCACGTGGGTCGACCAGAGTGGCAAGTTCTTTTCTTGGATGCACATCATCCGGCCAATGGTTAAGGTCACCGCCGAAGAGTTCCCGTCACTAAAGCACATGTCCCGCCTGGTAATCAACCGGCACAATCAACTCATCACAATGGCTTCTACATCACAACCAAACCAATTGATGGAATATTTACTTCAATATCCGTATAGCCTGTGATTAAATTATGTCCTACACTGTCTAAGTTACAATTCTACTATTATTACTATTTTATTTATTTGTCGTATGTTTACTATTATAGTCTTAAATCTTAATGTATATTAGGTATATAGTAAGTATTAATATACAGTAGGTACATTTCCCTGGCGCCCCAACCTCCGAATTTTATGTTCAAACCAAGGGCTTTCATGTTTCATTTGCGCTATGTTTGTGCTCTCGAATTTTATCAATTGTGCTGCAACCTCTAATGGCTCTAATGAACTACAAGGGATCATTAGTGTGGGTAGTATGGAGCCATACCACGACCCTATCTAAATATTTTGGAATTCCAAAGAACCATTATTTAGTAGTTTGCTACAACTGATATTATGTATCATTTTATCGACGTTATTATACTCTACTACTTCCGGAGTTATCCTTAAACTAAATTTGGTGGTTGTAAAGACTTGCCATTGTTATTGCTTAACTAGTAAAAAAGTTATATGCCTTTCTTACAAGGGGAGATCTGGAGATCCTAAAACGAGTACACTAGTACAGCCCGAGTACAGAAACTGTTTGTGGTTAATAGGTAAAAATACAGAAGGTGTGGAACATGTAGGACATGTTTAAGCAAATTGATACGGAGCGTCTTTCCGGGACGTCCGTGATCGTGAATAACAATGCGTTATGTATCGTTATAGTATCGTTTATTGTATAATCACTAAATAATGTTTATAATGATCGGGGCAAGTTATCCCGGGCCGCGCGGCAGGCTTGAAGAAGCGGCCGCGGCGGGCGGGTTCGGGCCTGAAGAGGCGCGAGCAAAACAATAGTCGGGATTTGCCTATACGTTTCGTAGAAAGAATACAATAATGATAAGGGAGAGTAGGAACCGTCCGTGCACGGACTCGAGCAAGTCGTGTGGGTTCGGTTCTTCCTCGCGGTGAAACTCGAATAAGCTCACCGTAGGGGGGGAACGTGGTATTACTTGTATTGGCTTGCTGAATAGTCGATTGGCCAAGTCACGAAGTCGGTTCCCGGCGTGTCTTGATATTCGTCCAACGGCGTGACTGGACTCGATTGAACGGGTGGACTGACAGTAGTGGATCGTCGGAGTATAATTATATTATACGCTGCCGTCGGTGGGTTAATCAGGTCCCGGTGTGGCGGCTATCCGTTGTCGTCGATTGCTGGATGCACACGGTAGGCTTGGTGTCGTCGGTCCGTGAAGTGGCGCTTGTTAGCCAGGTATACCGGGTACTGTTGAGTCTCGGCGGTATCGAGCGATCACGTTAGACCGGTGTGTTCAGGGTGCGTCGTCGTGGACTGGCTAGGTTGAATCAGCTTCGCCGGCGTCGTTCAGGTCGGTGTTGCTGCTGCGTCGTTAGTCTTCGGGTCTTCGGGTCTTCAGGTCTTCGGGTCTTCTAAAGTGTTTGTTGACTTGTAGAAGAGATGTTGAAGACTGGTGTGGAAGATGATTTGACCGCTTTGCTTTGCTTTGCTTGTGTGGCTGCCCTAGGGCATATTTACTGTGCCAGGCGTTTAGCCTATACCAGTGGGTTGAAAATTTTTTTTTTTTTTTTTTTTTTTTTTTTTTTTTTTTTGAGTGATGTATGGGTATTAATTAGTGGTTGCCCATTTTAACGGACGATTTTTTGGGATTTTACGACGTGTTTCACCAGGTTTGTGACCGAGGTTTCTTATATGTGGGTACTTAGAGTAGGAGTTCTTGTGAAACATCGCAGAAGCCTGACTGGTAATGGTTTCTCTGATGGTTTTTAATCCTGCGGAGCCGCGTAGAATTTCATTCCTGACAAACGTGGGGTTGCCCGTGATGGTGCGGAGGCCAATTGTTTGTACAGCCTCAATTTGTTTCCATTGGTGTGTCGAAACAAGGGGAGCCCAAGCTGCACCAGCATATGTTAGAATAGGGATGACATACATTTTGAGAATTAAGATTTTAGTTTTTAAGGGTATTGGGCTTTTCTTATTGATTTGACCGGTGAACTGTCCCGGTATATATACTATTTGTTTCCCTTTGTCGTCCTGTGATTGGTCGGGAATGGTTGCTTTGATAAGCAATAACCACACCTTGACCCATTGGTGTTCGCTTCGTTAATGTGGTTCTTGCTAGTTATTTCCGTGAAACTTTCCTGTTGGCAAACTACTTATTCTAGTGTGTCGCGTTTATTTCTTGTGTCGCATTATGTTGCCATACTGTTGTGTTTGGTGGTCCTGAAAAGGACCATTTTAATATAGTGACGGTTTATCCCGTTACAGCTCCCCCCCCAGATTTGTCATCGGGGAAGTAACTGAACCGATGGTAAATGTGTTGAACCGTTAGCGACACGTCTGCGGATTGATGCCTTGTATAATGCCCGTCGAATTGCATTACGAGACATATTCCACAGTGGGGTGTCCTCGTCTGGAGTTGTTATTACTGTTGATTTTTTGTCGTATCGTTGGAGATTGTTTGTGATGTGGTCCATTGCTTGTGCCAGATTGATATTCTTTTCAAATGGTATGTAGTTGTGCAATGTTTTTTCTGTAACGAATCTCCAGTCCCAGGGTTGTTTCCAATGTGTTTCGATGGCGTCTCTGGCCATATTTACGTTTTGTATCCATGTGACGATGTGGTTTATTTTTCGTCCGTCTTCTTTGTTTTCATCTGTTGTATGAATTTTCTGCGCCGTTACTGACGCTAGACCATATATGTTTTCTTTGTTTTCTGTTTTATTGAGCTGTCTTCTTTTCTTTGCTGCCTCTCGTCTTGCCTGTTCTCGTTCTGGGTTGATGGGTGCCATTTCTTGAACTGATGACTATGATTCTTGTTGACTGATCTTATATAGTTTGTGATATACCAAATTCTTGGTTCTGATTCGTCAACGTTGTCATCTCTTTCATTGGCTCCCCTTGTTGTTTTTTATAAATTGTTGTGTTTGTCCATAACATAGTATGGACGAACCTCGGACACGTTAATGAGTTCTTCCCGTCCCGAGTGTATGTTCTTCACGGCTAGCGTGTTTTTACTTATGACTTTGGTTATGATGAATGGTCCGTTGTACATGTGGAATAACTTTTTTATTTCCTTGTTATCTGTATTCGATAAGTGGTGGTCTCTTACTAATACACTTTGTCCCTTTTCATATATTATATTGCTTTGGTTTTTCTTTTTTGATTCTCGTTTTCTTGCTTTTTCTTCGATCCTGGATGCTACAAGTTGTATTATGTCTTCTTTTTTTGATTGTTTCGGCCTCGGAAAGTTGATCATATCCTCTAGTGGTTGTTTCGGTGTCTCTCCTTTGATTATCTCCCATGGGGTCATTTCCGTAACTTCGGATCGTACTTTGTTCATCCACTCTTCAATTTTCTCTAGACAATTTGGCCACTTGGTATGTTGATTGTGGCAGTATGTCCTCAAAAGTCTTCCTATTTCTCGATTATATCTCTCAACTGGATTCGATTGAGGGTGATATTTAGTGGAGTGTTTTATTTTGATATTCATGTCGTTCAGTTTTTTCTGCCATAATTTTCCCGTAAACTGTGTTCCGTTATCCGTCAATATTGACTGTGGTTTGCCTGTTCTTGGTATATAGTCTACTTCGATCCTATTTAGTATTGCTTTTGCCGATGCTTTTTTTAATGCATATAATCTAATATATTTGGAGAATGTGTCCAATATTGCTAGGATGTATTGAGTTCCTCCTCGGCCCATGGGAAGGGGTCCCATTAAATCTATTGAAACTGTTTCAAACGGTGTTTTCGGTTTCTGAGATATTGTTGGTCCACTTGCTTGATAGTTGATGGGTTTGCTTCTTTGACAACTGTCGCAATTTTTTATTACTGCCGCCGTGATTTTGTGCATATTTTTGAATATGCACATTCCTTTTAGTGCATAGTATGTTTTATATCGTCCTGCATGTCCCATTATTTCATGGGTTTCTGATGTTAACATATGTACGATTTTCTCTGGTATGACCACACGCCAATTGTTTTCTGTCTTGTCTTTTACAAAAACTATGTTTTCTTTTATCTTTATGTACTCATTTTCCTTACTCATCATTTTATTTATTCTTTTATCTGTTTTCTGTAGAATTGCCAAATTATCGATGGATTTTTTTAATTCTGGACTATATTCTGCTTTCCTTATTTTGTTGATTGATATTCTGGCTTCATCCCGTTCCTCGTTGAACCTGGGGTACCGTGTAAGTGTATCTGCTATTATATTATCCTTTCCTGCAATATATCGAATGTCCAAATCATATTCTTGTAGTGCTAATGTCCATCTGGTTAAACGTCCATTAGTCAGCCTACAACTCTTCATAAAGATTAACGCGTGGTGGTCTGTCTGTATGATTGTTTTGTGGCCTAGTATGTATTGTCGAAATTTGCTGCAGCAATATACAAGGGCTAATGCCTCCATTTCAGTTGTTGTATATCTGGTTTCGGGCGGTTTGAGTGTCCTACTTGCATAGCCGAGTGTTGCTCTTTCGTTGTTGTCCAATTGCTGATATAGTTCACCTCCTATTGCTACGCTTGATGCATCTGTATTGATATATAGTGGTTTCGTGAAGTCCGGGAATGTTATTATTACCTCCTTTAAAAATGCCTTTTTTGATTCTTCAAAAGCTTGTTGATGTTTCTCCTCCCATGTCCACTTTGCATTATTCCTGGTTAATTCAATTAACGGCTCTATTATATGTGCGAAATTTTTTACGTATTTTCTATAGAAATTCAAGAATCCTAAGTAACTTTGGATTTCTTTTTTCTTGCTTGGTGTTTTAAAGTTTTGAATTGTGTTTATTTTGGCCATATCCATTTTTATTCCCTCGGTTGAGATGATATGTCCTAGGAATGACACTTGTTTTCGAAAGAATTGACATTTATCAATGTTGATCGTGACATTGTATTTCTCAAATCTTTCTAGAACCATTCTGATGTGTTCGTAGTGGCTATCTTCATTTTCTGACGTAATTAGAATGTCGTCGACGTATATTGTTACAAAGGATTGTAGTAATGGG